CATTAACTCGCGGCTGTGTTGCAGGACATCATACAGGAGCGGCTGATGGTTTTACAACTGAGCCTGTCCAACTTGAAGGGTACTTATTTGCCACGGGATAGCATTGACTCCATGCTGTCCGCGCTCACGGTGAGAACACGCGTGGTTGCGTTCAAAGAAATGTTTATTTAGTCAATGCCACTCTTGGGAGTGTACACTAAGTATCGTTTCTTCGAATGGGAGACTTTAAAATCTTTCGATTAGTTGTTTCCATCTATCAGTTGTCTCATAATTACTTTTTAGAGATCATTTATTAACCCTTTGAACTCTGTAGGCTCCAATATTGCACCAGTTATAATATTAAATATGTTAATGAATCTTAAAGAAACTACCATAAAATTATTAGATTTTCCACACATCCACATTTTACATTGAGAAGGAAAATAAAAGATCGAAGAAATGTTATAGTATTTCTAATTTTCACTAGGAATGCTGTAAAAATTCCTAGTCGATTACAAAATAACCTGGAGTGCTAAGGGTTAAAATTCTTGTCGATACAGCACGAACATCGAAAAGTCTAACTGTTAAATGATAACCACCAAAATTGAAATTGGCAACTTACCTACGAAGCTATATGAAAATATCAAAAATTGGTTTAAATTGTTCCATATTTTCTCATTTGGCTAGAATCTCTGGCTATTTGACACTAGAACTACCGAGCATTTAATACGATTAACATGCGATTCCTATAAAAATTGTAACAACGTATAATTCTCAGTTTCTTCAGGCATTCATTGTAGTGCTCAAATGAAACTATTTTCAAAATCATTTCGAATATTCGATGCTTCGAAGATATCAATAATTGCTAAATCAATCGAAACCAGTCATTCCGACTGGTACGGTAGTTCTAGTGTCAAGGGTCGATGACTTGAAAATAGACAGCGTTGAATTATTGATCTCACTGTTCCGTACTTTCTCAGTTGGCTAGAATCTCTCTGCTCAAGGGTAGATACTAAAACAGATAGCGTTGAATTTACAGATCCACCTCGAAATCACTATCCTCGTCGCCATCGTTCGCCCTTAGAACAGTGGAAGAACTAAACGTTGATTGCAGGCGCTGTCCGCGGAACTACGATCGCACGAGCAGGAAGCGAACCAGCTGGAAGATCTGGTACGCAAAATTCCAGCGGACACCGAGTCGCAGCGGCTGTTGGCCAATCTAGCGGAAGTTCAGGCGCGTATCGCCACCCTCTCGTCGCAAACGGAAGAGGGACGCGCGACCCTCGAGGCGTCGCGCAGCCACCACGAGCAACGGGGCCACGATATCCACTCTTACAAACAATTCTTGGACGAGACGGACGCATGGCTGAAGAATATAGTGGCTGGTATGAGGGAACAGCCACCGATTACCACGAACAAGGTGCGTCCATCATTTCAAACGCGGAACAATTCGTCGATCCTGTATCATCCTCTTTTTCGCATCGTATCGTTCCTTCGTATGAATTAGATTCTTGCATGGTTACTTTCACGTTATAAACTATATAAATATATTCCACGAGTATCGAAGCCGTATAGATTGCGAAAGACAGTATGTGACATAGAATTACGTCTCACGAATAGACCGACTTTAAGTTACAAATTGAATTCGACAAATCTGGATATCGCGAATCATTCGAAATTCATCTAAACGGTTCACTGAATGAAATTCAAATCAATAACCTTCGGAGTGAACGCAGTGTAGAAAAAGTGTGAGATTCTGTTGTTTCTAATGAACAACGGTAAAGTAGCTTGATTAACACGTTGAATGCCGGAAAAGTATGATATTCAATAGTTTGTTCGAATTGCTTTATTATTATTGCGTGTTGATCGAGCTGAATGGCATCGCGTTAGGTAGCATGTTTAAATGAACTGTAGTAATTCGATTTGGTTGGGTGTCACCGGTGACCCCCGTGGCATTCAACGTGTTAAGCATGTAAAGAGTTGATAGGTCAAGGTGTTGGTACATTGAAACGAAACACCTTCGTAGCACACGATCCACAAACATTGATCGAAACGTTCATTCTCACGTGGCGATTCGCAGCTAATCATCGAACGCGAAAGGAAGAGGGGCAGCCTAAAAGCGAGCCAATTTCCCGTGAGCAGAGCCAATTCGTTGTCGCAAACTGTATCAAACGTGACGGTTCGAGAGATCGATCGTGCCGGTGTCGCATAATTTTTCCCGGCGCCGGCGCGATGGCGATCGCGATCCCCGGTTTCAGAATATCCTCGGTCGTTAAAATGTATTTTTAATCGTCGATCGACGACGACGACGTTGCATATACATACGTGTCTGTGCGGAACAGGCTTTGCAGGACGAGCTGAGCAGTCACGCGCAGCGTGTGTCGGAGCTTGAAACGCTGCCAGAGATCAGCACGCTGGCAAAGGTCCTGAAGAATGCGCTGTTGGAGGTGATGTCGCGTCTGCAGCAACGGCAGCAGGTACCCAACGCTTTCCAATGCTCAGGGGCTTTCGCAAACTTCGCCGGTGTTCGCGCAACAGTATCGTGAAGTATTGCGACGGTAGCGGGGGAACGCTAAAGAACGAAAGAAAAAAAGAACGAGAATTCAAT